CCCCGGGTAAGTTGCGGATTTTTATTTCGCGGTTCTCTATTATTCGCGGAGGACACTCTGGATGTACAGTACCAAAGAATGTCTGCGGGTAGTTTCAATGTTGCAGGTATTTTCGCGGCCGGTACGGGGACCACACGAGTTTTGTGGCATCCCGCAAGGTCTCTCTCTTGTCCCGGGAGGCTGGCCCATGCTCACCCAGCTCAGTCTGGGATAAACATTTGTCTGTGTCGCACGTGTGCTTAACTGCTCTTGTAACAACTGTGCTGCTCGTGCTCCCATACGCCCTCAACCACCTACATTCGGCTGCGGGAAGGTGCCCAAACAAGTGAAGAGAAAAAAAGGTCATGTATGCCTGGCTACGCCTGGCAACAGGAGCGGGTGAAAGGAGCGAGTGCTGGTTGGCGCATCGTCTGCAGTTTTAACTTTCCTCCCTTCCTGCCACATTTTACTGGATTTACTGTTATTAATAGTGTTTACTGATATAATAGTAATTAACAGTGATTAATCGTGTCATTGTAGCTAGGTTAGCTCATCATAGTAACCACCAGGCTACTGGGCCAAGCTTTTAGGTGTTATGGTTTTTTCAACTCGTATTTTTGGGTAGATATTTGTAACCTTCTTAATTAATTTTTACTCATTTACATACACACACCATCCTACATACATAGTGTGAAAAAAGTATAAAGTATGACACCACTATTACCAACATCCTTCATGTTGGGTTGGCCAGATGGCTACGAAAGAAATTCTGTAAGTTTGATCTCCACATCAACCCAGCTGGTGCTGATGCCGTATGGCAACTCGCCCAACTCAACTTTAATAACAAAGCACGAAGTTGACTCGAGGGTAGTATAATGAGACAAAACTCACAAGAAGAAGATTACATATAGATAGAATATTGATAGTAAGAGAAATGTAAAGAGAGGAAGGCTTTGGTAGCGTGGCCGTGTTAGTTATTTACTCTGTCAATACACTTAACTTATCTTATATGTCAATACACATCTATTACGTTCTTAAGGACGACTTCTCAAACACCGCTTCGTTACAACTGTTTATTAATTACGACAATGACATGGACACATTAATAACACCTTCTATCGAAGTTACTCGGACATTATATTTACGTTACTAGGACATCATATTACGTTACTAGACACCGATTCTCGGACACGAACATGAAATGAATACACTTCCCGGTAAGTAACTCATCCCATGGAAAGCTCTGACAAAACTCCGTATTAACCTGGGGAGGTCTAGCAGGTGGTCCTGGGTTGTGGGAACTGCTTAGCTGGGCACCGGAAGTTGGGGAGAAGTCTTGCGTGATTCTCTCCCGTGGCGGAATGGGCTGTGTGAACCTCCTCTCCGATCCTGTGTGTCTCTCTCTCCGACTCTGTCTCTCTGACTCCTCGCTGCTCCCTGAGGGGCTACAGCGGGACTCGGGACATAGTTGCTGGCCTTCTTGGTGCAAGACACTCTCGTGAGGGAGGACTAGGGCGTCTATATATTGGAGAAGACCAGCCATCAGGTTGAGCTGATCAGGGGCGGGCGGGAAGGTCTCCTTACATTTGCCCTCTGTAATGTAGGGTCAGGTCTGGACTTTTCTGAGACTATAAGTTGTTGTATATTCTGGAGAAATCTTCAGATGAATGCTTGCCTGTTGTCGTTGGTGGGGGCCGTGTGACATGAGAGGCTCTGGTTGATTTGTGGCCCCTTGACTTGGGCTCTCGGGGTTACATTTACCTGGCTAATGTGAGGTTAGAGTCTGAGCCTTGTCTGGGGCATTACTGTAGTTCCTTGTGTAAATGGGGAGGAACGCATGTGTTTCATTGGCTCACTGTGTGTCTTACATATTTGTTGGGGCCGTGTGACATGTGGAGGGGAGCCTGGTTGATTTGTAACCCTTGGGCAGCAGGTTACCCTTACACTTGACCCCCCTTATGTCGGGTCAGGTCTGGACTGTAAGCTGTGGTCTGACAACCCATCACTACAGTAGACTCACATTCTTTCAACATTACATTTTGTTGGCGTGTTTCTTATTACAGTATTTGTGAGAGGATTTCCCCATTATCATTTATTTGTATGCATTTTAATAAAAATAATAATAATAATAATACTGTAATAATATGTAATAAATAATAATATAATAATTAATGGTTTATTATAAGAGCATGGAAGCAAGAAGGCTGAAAATATACAGTTACATAATTGGGGAATGGGTCAATTGATTGACAAATAACATAAATTGATACAAATATGATATATAATAACTAAGTGGGGAAAAGGTTATACTACACGGCATTTGAACATAGTGACAGTGCAAAAGGTAAATTGGCCGGGAGTGAAGACATACACTGGTTGATTACGAGTTGTTGATAATTTTTATAATGACACACACACACACACACACACACACACACACACACACACACACACACACACACACACACACACACACACACACACACACACACACACACACACACACACACACACACACACACACACACACACACACACACACACACACACACACACACACACACACACACACACACACACACACACACACACACACACACACACACACACACACACACACACACACACACACACACACACACACACACACACACACACACACACACACACACACACACACACACACACACACACACACACACACACACACACACACACACACACACACACACACACACACACACACACACACACACACACACACACACACACACACACACACACACACACACACACACACACACACACACACACACACACACACACAACACACACACACACACACACACACACACACACACACACACACACACACACACACACACACACACACACACACACACACACACACACACACACACACACACACACACACACACACACACACACACACACACACACACACACACACACACACACACACACACACACACACACACACACACACACACACACACACACACACACACACACACACACACACACACACACACACACACACACACACACACACACACACACACACACACACACACACACACACACACACACACACACACACACACACACACACACACACACACACACACACACACACACACACACACACACACACACACACACACACACACACACACACACACACACACACACACACACACACACACACACACACACACACACACACACACACACACACACACACACACACACACACACACACACACACACACACACACACACACACACACACACACACACACACACACACACACACACACACACACACACACACACACACACACACACACACACACACACACACACACACACACACACACACACACACACACACACACAACACACACACACACACACACACACACACACACACACACACACACACACACACACACACACACACACACACACACACACACACACACACACACACACACACACACACACACACACACACACACACACACACACACACACACACACACACACACACACACACACACACACACACATTTGGTGAGAAGTTTACACCATCCCCACACCGGCTCCACTTACCACCTGAGATCCCTGTCCGAGAATTGCTGTTCATTAACCAAACAAGATCCAGCCCATACGCACGAACTTATCGCTATAAGAACAGCCCAGTCCCAACCATTGTAAAATTATCAACTTGTAATAAATCAGTGTATTCACTTGTGCAAACACTGCCCTACACTGTCACTATGTTGAAATGAACTGTAGTTTGAGCTTTCCCCATCTAGTTATTATATGTCTCATTTGTGTCACTTATGTTACTTGTATATTTGTAATTCGTAAACCCATTCCCCAAATATGTAACTGTATATTTTCAGCCTTCTGGCTGCCAAGCTCTTCAATAAAACTGTTATATATATATATATATATATATATATATATATATATATATATATATATATATATATATATATATATATATATATATATATATATATATATATATATATATATATATATATATATATATATATATATATATATATATATATATATATATCTCTCTCTCTAAAAGAAATAATTGTCCTAAGGGTAAACACAAGTAAAAATGTACTCACCTGATCTGCAGATGTTATTCATGGCCATTTTGAGAACCTAATCTCCAGAAATTTGAAGGACCTACTGTACTATTTATGAATTATTTTACCTTATTTACTTAAGGCCACCCACTCGAGGTAGCCACACCGAGGGAAGGATAGGCCTGTGTAGGATCCCTCCATTGTTCTTGATAATTTTAATGAGGGCTTGGAATAAATCTCCTGTTTCACACAAAGATTGGATCATCCATCACTGTGCTATAAAACAGCATTGCTACTGTATTAGCCCCTGTCTAACAGACATTAATACCTGTACTTATATAAATGTGGACAAAATACATTATGTTTATAGAATTATTTACTGTACACCCATGGAAATCCATGGAAATTAAACTATGAGCAAGTATCTAGCATTTTCCTTAATACTGAAAAGAACAAAGTATGGTAATTAATCTTCTTGTCTAACAGATGACCTCTGACCTATAGCCACCTGCCCTAGCTATGTAAACAGTCAGGAACAAGCCTCTGACTTGATTTTTTACCCCTCAGTTCAACTCGCTCTCGCCGACGGTTCATGTGCGGCTCCTAAAGCTTGGATACACATCATCTTCATCTCTTAATTAATGCCCACAGCTCATAGCATTAATTACAATACAGTGATATCATAACTATTTGTGCACTAGGTATCTTCTTAATAAATGGAGAAAAGACCATTCAGGTTTGATAACTTAACCCATAAACATTTATTTATGATAATTCCAAGGAAACTGGCAGACTCACATTAATGGACATTCAACAGTGATTGTCACAGATAAACGGAAGATATCATCTAAATGCTTGTACTTACTCGAGCTGATGACGTAAAGGCACCCCACAAGGGGACCCCTGTCGTCCTGCAAACCAAAGAGCACATCCAATACTGTCATCCAAGACTGATGTTTGTGGAGCAACCAAGTGACTAATATTTGACTGTCTTCCCTGTGCTAGTTCATCACTTTTTACATTAATCTAAAAATGGGAAAGTAACATTTCTGTTAATATAAAATATCCATCACATTAGTGACACTGAAAAAGTTTTGTTGTTTTCCATTACCGTATATGTACAGAATACAGTACAATATAGTAAAAATATTTTAGATGTATCATAAAACTTTGAAATTTTGTAACCACCTGAAATTGGGTGACTTATGTACAGTCAACCAATGTTCCTAGGACCCCTAACATGTGTGAGTAGAATTAAATTCCAGAAATTACAAAAAACAACAACAAATCTTTCTGGATATAACTGAAGAACCTAAGAGGATTTCATTGCAAGTGTTAGTTCCTAATTTGGTGTGCATGCTATAACGCGTGTTTTGATGTCGAATTTGCTCTAACGCGATTTATGACTCGGAACAATATTTGTATAACGCGACGGTCGTTTGCTATTATAACGCCATTTTGCTTACTATTTCTCCAATTTTGTGGTATTAATTGTGAATAAGTGGTAAAGAAGAATATCTCCAAAAAGCATCTCTGATGATACAATTCCCGGTGATTATGTAAAAGAAAGATATAGATCTTGAAGAGGGTTGATGTTAATAACCTCAAAATCACTCCTTCTCCCCCATCAAGTTACATTCATATTTTTCAAGGTAAAGTGTTAAATTTACTGTATGATTTCATTATTAGATATGAATGTACATTTATTAGACTGTGCTTATCCTTGTGTTAGCTAAATTTTTTCGATTTCGGTAAACTGCACCTAACCCTATTTTCCATAAGCCCTGTTATTTTATTACGCATTTTCATAACACTATATTTTACAAGAACATATTTAAGAGAAGAGATCCATTTAGTATATATATATATATATATATATATATATATATATATATATATATATATATATATATATATATATATATATATATATATATATATATATATATATATATATATATATATATATACAGTGGGTATGCTATAAATCTAACTGATCCTACTACTAATATTCCTATAATCTAATCTGGTTTTACCTATAAAATTGAGAATGCTATAACTAACGCAACTCCTAAATCTAATCATGATGAATATTTATTTCATGATATTAAATATTGTATGCATTCACAAATAAGAGCCGAAGGCATATCTTGTCTCATTGTGTAGCCAGTACCACTGTTATTGTTGAAATTTCGTCTTTTGATGTGAAAATGCGATTTGTATAACTATTTTGTTATTAAGTATACAATTGTACAATGAGTCGTCCAAAGCGAGTGAGAAAGCTAATAACCCTGAAACTAAGAAAGAAATTGTAAAGAAACGTGAGAATGGAAGAAGTTGATTAAACTTAGTGGATGAATATAGATGGCTAAATCGACTATATGTACGATTTTGAAGAATAAAGAGGAGTTAAAAACTGTGCAAGGGCTAAGGGAATCTTTAGACTTAGCAAAGCAAAGTGTAATGTGATTGAAGAGATGGAAATTTACTCTTAGTGTGGATAAAGGAGAAAGAAATGGCAGGTGGTAACATTAGTGAAGCTTATAATTTGTGAGAAGGCTAAACAATTGTTTGAGACCTTAAAGCTAAGACTCCCAGTGGAAGTGATAGTGATGCCAGTGTTTAGGGTGCCTGCATGCTGAATAACACTCAAGATAAGATAAAATACCATATTTTTTACATTTTCCACAGAATTTTTCAGTGTTAAGTGGTTGTATTTGGGGGCCTGAACGGATTAATCCTATATTGAATGAATGCTATAACAAACGAGGTTCTGGAACCAATTACGTCATATAGCATACCCCACATATATATATATATATATATATATATATATATATATATATATATATATATATATATATATATATATATATATATATATATATATATATATATATATATATATATATATATATATATATATATATATATATATATATGATAATCTTCTAAAGAATGCTGTAATTATTATTCAGGTAAGTACAGACTAGTCACTCACCCTGAAGATGTGAATTACACGAAAAGCGCTTGAACTTCGTGTTTTCTTCTTTCTTTCGTGGTTATCAGCATATACTTCAGATCAATGCCACACTCACAGTGATTTACTTATATATATATATATATATATATATATATATATATATATATATATATATATATATATATATATATATATATACACCTAGATCTCGACTTCATTTCTACGTGACTTCATTTATCGCGGAGATTTTTTATTAGAAAAAAAAAAAAAAAAAAATTTCTTCAAAATGACACATGCATTTTCTATACTGAACGTTTCCAGTTAATGTAGTTCCATGTATAATTAGAAAATTATGGGGCCCCATGTGCATTCAGCTGACTACATTAAAGGTAAGTGCTCAGTCAC